AAAAAAAAAAAAAAGAAAAAGCCACAAAAGTCATCAGTCCTGAAACAATAAATTCTTGCTGGAGAAAATTGTGTCCAGATGTTGTGCATGACTTCACAAGATTTATGACAGAGCCAATTAGGGAAATCATGAAAGAGATTGTGGATCTGGCAAAAAGGTGTCAGGGCAGGGAAGTAAAGGGTTTCAATATAAAGATCTTACAAAATTTCTTTTTTTTTTTTTTTTTTAATTTTTTTTTCAACGTTTTTATTTATTTTTGGGACAGAGAGAGACAGAGCATGAACGGGGGAGGGGCAGAGAGAGAGGGAGACACAGAATCGGAAACAGGCTCCAGGCTCTGAGCCATCAGCCCAGAGCCTGACGCGGGGCTCGAACTCACGGACCGCGAGATCGTGACCTGGCTGAAGTCGGATGCTTAACCGACTGCGCCACCCAGGCGCCCCTAGATCTTACAAAATTTCAAGAGCTAATAGACACCACACCTGAGGAATGAACAGAAGATGACTTAATGGAGATGTGCCATCTCCACACATGGCCACATCCAGTGCCAGCAAACAAATTGACACTAGACAATCCGGCCGTAACGTTCTAATTATTCAGGACTGCTTTTGACCTCTTTTATGACACAAACCCTTCTATGATATGGGCACTAATAATAAAGCAAATGGTGGAAGAAGTTTTGATAACATATAGGAATATTTTTAGAGAAACAAAAAAGCAGAGAAGTCAGAAAGAAATTACAATATATTTCTGTAAAGTTACACCAAGTGTGCCTGCCTCTCCCGCCTCCCCTTGCACCTTCACATCTGCTTATGCCACTCCTGAGACAGCAAGACCAACCCCTCCTCTTCCTCCTCCTTCTCCGCCTATTCAATATGAAGATGAGGAGGATGAAGACCTTTATGATGATCCACTTCCACTTAATGAATAGTAGATAATCATTATGCCATACAGTTAATAAACTTATCTGTTGTGCATTTGTGTGTCTTCGTGCAAATCAATATTTGCAAAAATCTAATAATTGTACAGCAAGAACTGTGTCATCATCATCGTTGTATAAGTATTCATCCTGTAGAACATTGCGTGCAAGATTTCTGTGGAAGGGAATAGTCTATCCTTATAGAGGCATAAGATGATTGATTTTAATATAAAATTAATAATGTGTTAGTTTTCTTACTGCTTTATAACTTTGCTTTTTGCTTTTCTGCAGCAGTGTTTCCAGTATTGTGTTATGAATATAATACAGTGTGCCCTAAAAAATTTTTAATGATTTACTCTAGTCTATAGGCTAGGCTACCATGAAGTAATACTATCAATTATACTAGGCTACCATAAAGAAATCATATTGCTCTTTCTTCATTATCAACACATAAGTTGTCTGTAAATAAATATGAATTTCTTTTTAACATCTTTTCATTTTGGGTGTCTAGTGTTAGTAATATGTGTAAATCTACAGTGTTCTGTATCGCATAAGACCGTGTTGATGTAGGTACTGACAGATGATTCATCTTGTAAACAGATGATACAAACTTATGGTATCAATTTCTCTTCTTATGATTTTCTTAATAACATTTTCTTTCCTCTAGCTTGCTTTATTGTAAGAATACAGTATATAATACATACAAGATATGTGTTAATTAACTGTTATCATAAGGCTTCCAGTCAACAGTAGGCTATTATTATTTAAGTTTTGGGGAAGTTAAAATTTATACTTGATTTTCAGTTGCCTGGGGTGTAGGGACTCCTAACCTCTGCATTGTTCAAAGGTCAACTGTAATGAATATTTAACTTTAAAGTGACTTCTCTAATGGTATGTTTTATATTATTATTTTCACCTTCTTAACTTTTAATTTTAATGTATATATTATTTTTATAGTTGGAGATAAGAGCTGGATTGATGTTTATGAGTAGAATGTGAACCCAGGGACTACGTTAGGTATTTTACATTCATTAATCTCATTTAATCTTCAAAATCAGCTCCAGATGTACGTCATGATCTCTGGCCCCATTTTATAAATGAGGAAAGTAAAACCAAGAGAAGATTAAATGACTTGCTAAAGATCACAAAACTAACAAGAAGCAGAATTGGAAATTGAAGGAGAGTCTTTCTGAATTATTTCTGAAACTACATTGCTTCCCTAATGTCATAAGACATTAAAAGCTGGGGGGGGGGGGATGGGGTAGGAATATGGAGAACTGCCCCCAAGGAGAGGTTTTTAATTATTGTTAGACTAGTCTTATGTCCCTGTTCAATGATTTTTTAAAACTTGTAATTTAGATTCTTCCCTGCTTTAAAAAAAAAAAAAAATGGACAACTTCTATTAAACTATTAACACATTTTAGTTTTAACCTTTTGGTGCATAGAACTATCATATATTATCTACCAAATAGTAATCAAATATCAAAATAAATACTATATTATGTGACTGACACAACGTTAGAGAATACCAGTTTAGATAACTTTTCTTTTGGTGTTGCCTTATGCTTCCCAAGGAAGAAAAAAGTAGACCTCAAAAAAATGCATTATACAGCTACTCTAGACATGAATATGACTATTTTCTATTATTGATGATTTTATTAACAAGATTTCTTTCATTATATAACAGTGTATTAGTTATCTATTCCTAGGTAACAAATTACACCAAAATTTAGGGACTTAAAACAGCAGACATTTATTATCTCATAGGTGTCTCTGTGAGTCAGGAATTCATGAACGACTTAGCTGGGTAGTTCTGACTCAGGATCTGTCTTGAGGTTGCAGTCAAAATGTTGTCCAGGGATACAGTTATTTGAAGGCTTAACTGAAGCTAGAGCATCTGCTTCCAAGATGGCTTACACACATAGCCATTGTTGAGAGACCTTAGTTCCTTGCCAAATGGGTCTCTCCTGTAGAGCTGTTGGAATGTCCCCACATGTCAGCTGGCTTCCCCCAAAGCAAGTTATGGAGAAATAGATTTCTCCAAAACAGAGAAAGAGGGGAAGCTGACTTAGTCTTATAAATGATGCAGTCATTTCCACTATATACTATTTGTTAGGAGTAAGTTGCTAAGTCCAGCCCACACTCAAGGGAAGGGCAATTAAGCTCTACCTCTAGAGAGGAAGAGTAGTGAACAATCTGTTGACATGTTTTCATACCACAAACAGGAACTCCAAAGGAGACTATCGTGAAAAATTATCCAAATGATTGTGCTTTAAACATGTCTAATTTTGGACAAAAGGTTATATGATCTGTCATGAATGTATGATTCAAAAATTTTTTTAATTTCATTTATTTCTGTTCTAGTCTTTATTTTTTTTTCCTTCTGTTGACTCCGGGCTTTGTTCTTCTTTTTCTAGTTCCTTTAGGATGTAAGGTTAGGTTGTTATTTGATACTTTTTTAGTTATCAAAGTAGGCCTGTATTGCTATAAATTTCCCTCCTAGAACAGCCTTTGCTGCATCCCCAAGATTTTGACAATTGTGTTTTCATTTTCATTTGTCTCCATGTATTTCCTGTGTGTTTCAAAATGTTTAACTTGAAGGATAATGGTGCTGTGACATATACTACATGGTGACTCCCTTAACCAGCTATTTTTCTGACTCAAAAGAGACTATGATGAACCCTGCTAGAATACTGCCTTATGTCAATGGGTCGGATTATGAAAAAACTGAGTTGTTTTGAAAGTATGGGTTTACAAGAATTGGAGAACACTCATTATAAATTACTTTAGGATAAAATAATTATGCTTAGACTTTTATAGTGGCCCAAACAGCAAAAGAAAGAAAACAGAAAATACAATGGTAAGCTGAAGGTAGTGTAGACAGACACAGGGAAAAGGAAGGCCCTGCTAAGGAACTGAGCAGAGGCTGCTCAGCCACATTCTGATGCTATCAGCCAAATTAATTATGCAGATAGAGACAGTTTCCAGGCAAGGTTTTACCCTGAAGCCAAAAAAAAAAAAA